TCCCCCTATATCAATCTGACAGATGGGATAATGAGGCCCAGGCAACAGATTAGGGACAGATCTTTCCAAGGCACAGAGCAAAGGAAGGCAGATGATGGCCTATCTGACCCACTAATCCATTTTTGTAAATAAAGTTTCATTGAAGATTTTTTTAATCAAGCTCCCTAATTAATGGATGAGCCAATCAAAGCTTGAGAATGGATGACTTGTCTAAGATCTCACAGTGAACTAGAAGCAGAAGCAGAAACAGATTCTAGATCTCTGAAATCCAAACATTTTCTAAAACACAAACAGGTGGTAGGAAGGTAGGACATGAAGTCCCACAAAACCTATGATGCTTTCTCTGGCCCACAATGTGTAGTCTCTATAACTGCACCACCCTCTTTGCACTACTGCTGAGACTCCCAAGGTGTTTCTTCTACCATGTTGGGTAAAGTCACCTGTCTTAGCCTGAACTCCAGGGGGCCCTCCCTCCATCTGCCTTCCACTTCCTTCCGGTGAGCAGAGTGGGAGCCAACCTGGCAGTGACAATCTCCTTGGGGGCAAAGGATGAACACAGCAACCCATGTTTATTTTAATTTGGTACCAGATGCAGTAAACTGCCATTAGCATCCCCTCTGCTGATTTGAAATGTGAGATCATTAGGACAGGAAATGGGCAAAAAGCAGGCTTTCCTTGTTCCAGGAAGTTTGCCAAAAAGGAATAGTGTAAACAGGATCCTAGCAGGGAGGTTGTTTGAAATCACTTCACAAAATAAATACAATTCACAGGCTCTGGGGCATCCCAGAGGGCACCATTCCAGGATGGTCAATCTATTTACATTTCTTTCTCTTTTTTTCTGAAACAGGTCTCACTATGTAATTCCAGTTGGCTCACTATGTGGCACAGGGCTGCCTCAAACTCCTGGTGATCCTCCTGCCTCAACCTCCCAAATGCTGAGATTACAAGTATGTGCCGGCCACACCTGGCTCTATTCACATTCTGCCCCCCCCCCCACGGCACCAGGGATCGAACTCAGGACCTTGTGCTTGTGAAGCAGGTGCTCCACCACTGAGCTAAATCCCTGGCCCTATTCACATTTTTCTAAGGGAGGGAGGGGAGTTACAGTTCAGCATGCTAATAAAATCATTCTTACCTTATCATTTAAATGGCTCATGAAGAGAGCACTTTATTAACCTTGTTTAAAGTGGGAATGATTTAAAATACCTGCAGATGTAGACACAAGTCCAGTGAGCCAGTGGTACTAATTAGGGAGGTTTCATTAGCCCCTTGGTCTGGGGAAGGAGGCTGTCAATGGTCCCGATGGCCTGGGAATGCCAAAGGGCTAAAGGCTCATTCAGAAACAGCAGGGCATATAGCCAGGAGACTTCGACAATGGTCCTTCCAGAGCTGGAAGTTACACACTATTGCTGAGGCAGAGGACAAAAATAGTTCCCTGTCAAAGATAGCTGGGCCCAGAGGCACCTTGGTCTTCCTCCACAATGCAGTCCCATATACACATGTCCACCCCCACAAACCAAGTTTTGGAAAGTTTGGTCTTGGTTGCAAATAGCTAAGGGTTTGCATCTGGCCATGTCTGGCATCAGCTCTGTGACCCCAGGCAAGATTTTTTTCCCAAGTCTCCATGTTCTCATCTGTCAAATGGGGCTAAGGATTTTTTTCTGACAGGCATTTGCTGTAAGGATTAAATAACAATGAGAGCTAACACATTCTGCAGCCTCACTCTTTCCTCCTCTCCCTCCTACCAGTTGCTCACTTTCTAGCATGTTCTCCAAGAGTGACTCCAAGGCATTTTGGAAGTCAGTTAGCTATTGTATCACAAGGACAATCAAGGGTTCCATAGAGGCTGTTGGTAGCTTCTCCCAGGCAGTCATCAGGCTGAGGGCTTCTGCCAACAGCCATGAGAGGGAGTGATCTTGGAGGCAGATCCTCTACCCCCAGCTAAACATTGGGATGACTGTGGTCCTGGCCACACCTCCTCTTCAAGGTCATGTGGGACCATGAGCCAGAGCCACCCAAGCTGCTTCCAGATTCCTGGCCCTCAGAAACTGCTTGACAGTGATATAGGGGGAATAAATGTAACTCCCATCTTGCTAGATGTCAGATACGCTGAGTTTGTGTTCCCCAAAATTGAAGAATGAATTCCAAGGAAAAATGGAGGTTAAGAGGAGGAAAAATTTATTGAGAGGGATAGCTCTGGAGAGACAGAAGGGGACCCGAAAGTGCGTTGCTTCAGACCCCACTTCACAGAGGAAGTTTTTAGAGCAAAATCACGTGGTGGGTACAATGTGGGTCAAAACTAAGATCAGCCAATAAGAGTATTGATCCAATGGAGAAGCAGGTCACATAGAGAGTGTATATGGAAAGAACAAGGACCTTTTAAGGAAGAGATGGATTGGGAGGTTCTGGTCACCCACCTGGGTAACTGAGGTCTATCTAAACTTTATTGGACCAGGTGGTACCAATTATAGTATAGTCTTCAATTTATTACTTATCCCATGGGGAGGCATGCAGGCCTGGTCATTTCATCTTTATCTTGAAGTCTGGCCTTTCACAGATGTGCCTCCAGCCACAGCTGTAATGTGTTCTCATCTTTTGCACTGACTCCCTTGAGAGCTTAGCCCTGCCTGACTGCCTATATTTCTACTGTCTATAATGAGAGAATAAATGTCTGCTTAGTTTGGGGGGATTTGTGGTAGAGCAATCAATAATTTTTGGAATTATTATACAAATCAAGGGATAATACATATTAAATTATAACCAGACTTGATGGGACCAGCGGCTCCAGATGGGACAGAAAGGAGAAGCAGAAAGAGACAGCACTGGGCAGGGAGCATTGGCTGGGTTTAAGCCAGGCAGGACCCCACTCCTGATGTGGAAGATCTGCAAAGACCAAGTCTACAAAGGCCAGTGACCACATGTGAAAACAAAGTTCTGACCAGAGGCCTGAGACAACAGTCCAGAAAGCCAAACATTTGGGGCTGTAGCAATCAGCCCCAAATTGCCAGAACTTTATCAGTAATTGACAGCTTCCCCAATTTTGTCCCTATTTCCAAAGTAGGACAAACTAGAGAAAGCAAATATGCTCCCCTAAGCAATTCCACAGGCGCCCCTCTTCTAGTAAGCCCACCTTCAGCTTTCCATGCCAACAGCCCCCAGTCAGACACACCTGAAGTCTTCCCTTCTTTCCACTATAAGGCATCTTGAGCTTCTGCCTGCTTTTGAATCTTGGAAACACAGGTGACCATGGGTGACTGTCTTGCTATAGCAGAGTGGTGGCGAGCCTATGACACGCATGTTATTTTTTCTTTTAAATTTTTTTCTAAACTAAACCTCAGTATTCAGGTTTGATTGCAGCGTTGACACTTTGTGATAAATAAATGAGTTTGGGGTTGCAGTTTGGGCTGGGCACTTGTCTCTAAAAGGTTCGCCACCACTGCTACAGCAGCTCTGAATAAATAGCCTGGGCTTGTACTCATTTGGTGGTCATTGTTTCTACAAGCCCAAGTTCTCTCTCTGCCTCTCTGCTCCAGGTCAAAGACAACATCTTCTTCACCCCTCCACACAAACACACCCTACCCCAAGGTATCCAAAGAACAAGCTCAGGGAAGATGGAAGAAAGGGAAGAAATAACTGTCTCCCCTGTAATCCCTAACCAGCTGTGTGTTCTCGAAACTCTCTGAGCCTGTTTCCTCATGTCACTGGGACAGTCCTACTGAAACTCAGAGGTTGGTGTGAGCATCCAATGTTGTAATGTGTTCAGTGCCCCAAGCATAAAGCAGGTGCTTAATAAAGCAAAGCCAGCTGTCACATCAGCCTCCACACAACCTGCTGGAGCAGGGTGGCCCCTGTATCATACCCTGTTCACCCCCGACCCCTTTCTTTGCAGTTGGCAGTAGGACTTCAGCTGGGTGGAGTCAACAGTATGGCTCCAAGTTCAGTACAGGAGTCTATCAAGGTCAGGGGTTGGTCTGGGAAGGATGGGCAAAGGGTATAACTGAGCCATTCCCTAAGGAAATCCACCGATCACAAGCAGAGGATAAACTGTCCACACTGGATATCTGAACAGTACAAACACATGAAAGCTGCATCCCTATTTCCAATATGTTGCATACAGATCCGAACAAAAAGAGGGCCAGAAGGGTTTGTGCCAAGGTGATAATATCGACTCTTGCTGCATGGTAGGATTACGAGCTTTTCAGTTCTTTTTCCATTTTGCTAATACACGTTTTCTATGTAGTCTACAATGACTGTGTTTTTGTTACTTTTTTTTTGGTACCGGGGATCGAACTCGGGTCCTTCCACTTGCGAGGCAGGCGGCAGAACCACTGAGCTAAATCTCCGGCCCGACTGTGTTTTTGTAAGAAAAAGAAATCCCCAATATCTTGTTTTTAATTAAAAAATTATTCAGGCTTCTTTTTTCTGGTACCGGGGATTGAACTCAGGACCTTGCACTTGCAAGGCAGGCACCGGAACCACTGAGCTAAATCCCCGGCCCTTAATTAAAAAATTAAATGAGGCAGGGTGGGGGAATATAGGGAAGGGGCAGAGAGCATTCCTTACTGGGGCAGCCTTTGGCTCTCCCTGTTCCCCAAGCTGAGCGGTCCTCAAAAGAGAGGGTGTAAGATGGCCCGGGACTCAGGGCCATAGCCCAGCAGAGTGGGCCACAGTGGCTATCATTGTACTCTGATTACTTGGGTATAATAAAGAACAGAGGACAGATTTAGGGTAGCTTTCCCTGAGAACTTGATTTCAGATCACCGAGTTCTGGAATGGGCACGTTGGGGAGATTTTCTAGCGTACTGAGGACCACCCGGAGAGGGCTGAGCTCCACTGACTAGGAAGGCAGCGGCTGCACGGGCGTCTGGATCCCTCTTAGGGGTGGGACTCTAGGAAGATTGGGCTCTCCAGGAGATTCGGCAACCAGACGCCAAGGGGCGGGCGGGCCCGGCCGTTGCTAGGGGAGGGGCGCCGGGCCGGCGGGGGCTCAGTGGGCGGCGGCGGCGGCGGCGGCGGCGCGCTCAGCGCTCTGGTTGTCTCCCGCGCCGCCTGTTGCTCGCAGTTCCCGGCCGCAGCTTCCCGCCGAGTGGCCAGGGGTAGGCGGCCCGAGAAGGGGTCAGCGCGTGGACAGCCTCCCGCCCTCCTGCCCTCCCCGCTCTCGAGTGATCGGAGGATCCCAGGCGTCCCCGAAAGTGCGAACGCCGCGAGCCTCCAACTGCGCCCCGGACCGCGCATCGAGACCCGGGCGCCAAGCCGCCCCGCGATGAACGCGACCTTCCTGAACCACAGCGGCCTGGACGAGGTGGGCGGTGTGGGCGGGAGCACCGGGACTGCCCTGGGGAACCACAGCCAGGGGCTGGGCCCTTGGCTAGACTGCTGCCCGGGGGGCGCGCCGCTGACCGCCAGCGACGGGGTCTCCGCAGGGCTGGCGCCAGACGAGCGCAGCCTGTGGGTGTCGCGCGTGGCGCAGATCGCCGTGCTTTGTGTTCTTTCGCTCACCGTGGTCTTCGGCGTTTTCTTCTTGGGCTGCAACCTGCTCATCAAGTCCGAGAGCATGATCAACTTTCTGGTGGAGGAGCGCCGGCCCTCCAAGGACGTGGGCGCCGCCATTCTGGGCTTGTACTGAGCGCTGGCCCGCAGCCCTCGCCCGCCGGGGAAAGGAGAAGGGACGCCTGGGACCCCGACGCCTCTCTGCTCGACCGCCACCTCTGGGCGAGCAGCGCGAGAGAGCGAAGCGCCCTGGTGCCGGGGCGTGAAGACACCGCGGGACAGAGGCGGCGGCGGCGGCGCGGGAGGGGACTCACGCCCGGCACGGTCCTGTGTGCGCTTCAGCGTGAGGCGGGAGGATGAGGTTTCTTAACGGTTCTTTTGTTTTTGTAAAAAAAGGAAGTTCGGGCCAGGGTGGGCTTGAGTGGGATGCTGTGTCGGGCTGAAGGCGCTCGCGTGGGGGCTTTTGTGTGTTGGCGGAGGGCGGTGTGAGCGCTTCGAGGAGCAGAGTGGGCGGGAGCTGTGAAGAATCAGAGCCGCTGAGCTTGTTGGCCTGATTTTGCATCTGCAGAGAAATTTTGTAATAAAAAGCAGCCGTCGAGCTTTCAGTGGCCTCCCGCCAGCATCTGATGTGTGCGTGCGTGTGTATGTGTGTGTTGGCGGGGACGGAGGGACTGAGGTCCTGTGTCCTGGTGGGGCGAATATTTTGATCCTGTCCAGAAAAATTTCGCCCCTTCGTGTGCCACGGAGGGAGCAGTGCAGGCAGGTCTGGGGCTCCACACCCGCACGGAGGCCAGCCCCCGGCCAGGAAAGGGAAAAGGAGCGGTTTTCTACACTGACCTAGGAGACAGGTCTTTGAAGGCTGCCAGATGGTGAGATTAGTCAAATCACTGGAGAGTTGAGTATTTTCCGTAAAATGGGGGAAAAATAAGTGAATTAAGTCCAAAAAGGGGAAAACACTGAAATGAATACATCAGGATAATGAACAAAATTCAATTGAGCCAGCGGGGGAGGAGGGAGCTCATCGAGTTAATATGTTAAGGAGTTAATGATAAGACCAAAAGCACTCTCTAAGGGCTTGTCTTATCCCAACTCCCCCAATCACACCCCCATCCCCCACTGCCACCAGGCCCGTGTAGAAGGTGGCTAAGTAGACTACAAAGGTGGTTCCTTGTTGCATGGTGTGTGTGTGTGGGGGGTAGCTAGGATGTTTCAAATGGTGAAAATTGCCTTCAGTTGCAGTGTCTTGCAGGTTCTTGGATGTATGAGATGCCCCAGCAGTCCTGCCTCCTGTGGGTACCACCTTTCCTTCTAACAGGTTAAGTAACAAGAGCCTGGGCAAGGGGGAGGGTGTGGATCTGCTGTCTGCAAGTTGTTGGCCTGGGTGAGAGCTGAAATGGGACCACTGAGAGAGCAGTCTGGGTTTGTGGCCTTGCATACCCTTTAGTCCTGGTGCCAGCCCCACGCAAGCGCCCCGATACTTGGAAGATTTTTAGGAAGAAGGCTCTAGTGGATTTCTCCTCTCTTCTTCCAAGATGAGAAGAAAGATGGTTGAAGCCTTCACTGGCTTTGAAACAAGAAGTGGTGGAAACTTTCTCATATCTTTGATACCAGAACTATGGAGAAGGGTGTAGGAGAAGCATCTCAGCAAAAGCATACATGGTCACTGGCTGAAGGATCTGGCATCTTCTTGGTTCCCGAGCAATCCTGTCCATGCAATCAATACTGGATATGTCCCCTTCCCCCTCATCCTGCTGCCTCAGTCTCAGACCTGGGGGTTCGTTCAGAGGGTCAGGACAGGACAGTGAGGTCAGGGGCAGAGATTCTTTGTTAAGTATCTATGAGACAAATCCTCCAATATGGACAATGTTCCACTGATGGTTTGGTATGACTTACATATAGCCAGCCTGATCTGGGGAACAGTTTGATGATTTAGGCAACCTGGAGGTCTGGCTCTGGGTAGCACAGGTGTCTGGAGGCTGGGCGACCCAGTGGCCTTCAGAACATTGCTCAGAGAGGGTCATAAAAAAAGTGTCACACAAAGCTCCAAATGACTGGAAAATGGCGGCTTTGGGAGAAACACAGTCTTCACTTTTCTGCCTAGCCTAATTAGAGTGATCTCTACCAAAACTTTCCTCTAATAAAGTGGTCTGCTACTAAATGTGCTGGGGAAAGAGGAAGGTGGTTCAGGAGTTCAATTTCCTGATTTGCTGACGAAGGAAAGCCTTTGTGGGGGAGCTTTGTGAGGTTTTCTGACTTAACTACAAAGGACAGTGGAGGCACATCTGTGTGTGTGTGCACGAGCCATCATTCTGTGAAGTACAGTAGGTGTGCAGTCCCGGGCACTTGGGCATGGGTGTGTGCTCACGCATGCAGGCACATGAAAGGCAGAGCTCAGGCCTCAAGGAGGAAAACAGCTGGCACAAGTGGGGTCCTAGAGGAGGGGAGGGGAGGGATCACACTTGTAGTCCTTAGTTCTTCTGGAAGCCCTGGAGTGTGTTCACTGAACTCCATGTAAACCCAAGACAGGGATGGGAACATCGAGTTTTATAAGATAGGAGCCAGTGAGGCACAGTGTTCCAGAGAAGGTAATTCATGTTTGTAAAGCATTTTGTAGTTTTTTTTTTTTTGGGGGGGGGCGTACCAGGGATCAAACTGGGGTCCTTGCTCTTGCGCAGCAAGCAGCGAAACCACTGAGCTAAATCCCCGGCCCTAACATTTTGTAGTTTTTTGAGGTGCTTTTTGTTTTGTTTTTGAGGTGCTAACCTAGAGCCTTTGCACTGAGCTAATCCTCATCTCTGTTTTTATTTTTCATTTTGAGACAAGGACTGGGCTTGAATTTATGATCCTCCTGCCTCAGTCTCCAAGAGTGCTGGGATTATAGGCGTGCACCACCATGCCAGGCTCATTTTGTAGTATTAAAGCACTTTCATAAGCAGGATGGAAATAATATGTCAAGTACCTAATGTGCTAAGCACTGAGTTCCCACCTTTGTGGGAAAGGTTTCATTACTACTCCCAGTTTACAAATGAAGCACAAAAAGGTTACCTAAGGTCATAAAGCTAGGGGCTTGGTAAGTAAGAGGAACAGACATTCTCCTAGTTTCCTGCTTTTAGGAGGGGAAACTGAGGTTCAGTTTAATAAACTTGCTCAAGTTCAGTCACTTGACTAGTGTCAATTGTGAATCTACTGTGGGCCAGGTTCTGGGCCAGGAGCAAGCCAAGAGTCTAGTCCCATTCTGTAGCCCCTGAAGCCATTGGTAGTGCCCCCAGAGAGAAGTAGTTGGTTCCATGCATCTCAGATTTCAGCCAAGCCTTCCAGGTCCCATTCTCTGAGTCAGGGATGTACTTCTGGGGTCAGATGTACCCGCACCAGCAAGATGTTCACTGGAATGGGACAGTGGAGAGGGCTTACATCACTACATCCACCCACTTTCCCACTTGCTTGTAGAAGCCAATTTCACACAGAAGGGTACATGGTGGTGGCTGCTGGGAGTACTCTTCCCTGGACCTCAACCAAGCAGCAGATCCAGAGCAGACTTGATTGTTAGAGATGATTTCAGTGGGAAAGAATGAAACGGGAAGAGTGGTGGGTACAGACAAAAGTGCCATGCATCCAGTATTACAATCTAAGAGAAAAGGTATATGTGAACACGTGTGTGAATGCATGCAGAACACACACATTTAACACTAAGGGCTTGGTGGGATTTCTGAGTAGTATCCTTTGAGTGTACCCCCTAATCCTCTCTTTTCAAGCAAAATCACACCACGTGTATGATATAATCTGAATGTCATCTCAAAGCAGGCGTGACAGGTGTCCAGGCCTCTGAGATGGTAGCTGGGGGGGGGGGTACTGTTCTGGAGAAGCACCTACTTCCCCTGTGATAACAGCTCTGTTATCTAAATTTGAGATTCTGATAGGTATATTCCAGTTCATACACAGGGGGATCCTTATCCTTGGAGAACGTTAGCTTTCAACAATTTTCAGAAACAGAGTCATCAGATTAGCTTTCATAAGATTGTCATCTGAGGGCCCAAGGTCATACCCTTAGTTAACAGGTGTCAGAGATGACACAAAAACTCAGGTCATACTAATGCACAAGCCAGTGCCAATATTTACTAGGCCCATCCCATTGGACGTTTCTGGTGCTGGGTGCTGAGCAGGTTGCTGAGGTGCAGATAGCTCCTGTTCTGCCTTCAGGTGTTAATAATGGGATTACAGAAATAATCATGCTCATGGAGATCGAGTGTGGCCTTCTCCTCAATGATTTCTTTTTGAGCCACCAGCACCAGTGGGGATGGAGTTCGTGGGCACCTTTGGGCTAGCTGTATACTCAAGATCTTCCTTGCTTTACAGGGGAACGCCTGGCAGGAAGCCTGGGATATGGGTCCTGGACATTGACAGTGATGCGGCCAGGTGAACAGAGGCCAACATCTGTCACCAGTAGCCACTGAACAGACTTCTGGATCCCTGCTGAGTGGGACCAGGCCATAGGAGGCTGACAGCCATGGACTCTGTCTTTGCTCCAAAGCTGAAGTTCAGCAAGGGCCCCTGCTACCTTTTGTGCAACTCCAGTCCTCTTACTGGGGATCCTGTCCCAGGTTCTCCTGTCTTGGCCAAGAGCCAGGGCTTTGGGCAGGGACATTTTTCCATTCTAGCTGGACCAGAAAGCAAGAAGTTAGGGAAGAGAGGAGGAGGAAGGAGGAAGAGAAAGAAAGGGGAAAGGTAGAAATATGAAGGGAGAGCACAGAGAAGATGATATGGTGGGAGAAGGGAAGAGAGGGAGAAGAGGATGACAGACAAATCAAGACAGGGGACCCAGCAGAATGAGCAGAATGCAGCAGTCTCCCTCCTGCTCCAGGTCTGTCGACATACAGCCTCTGCCAACTACAGACATCCTCATGGCTTGTCAGGAAGATAAAGAGGTAAAGCAGCAATACTGACGGTGGTGATGGGTGGGCTTAGAAGACAAATCAGTAACATGTCTTGGGGTGGTCCCTCTTCTTTCTCATGGGATCTGTGTTGTCTGCCCACTCCCCACGTCCCAGGCCTTACTGAAAAAGCACCTCTTCCTCAAAGCCAAACCCTGGGCCCTGCTTCTACTTCCTGAAGCTTCACCCTGGGGGGTGTGCCCAGGAGGTGTGGCCTGGCTCATACAACAGAAATGAGTGCTTATCCAAGGGCAGACAAGAGAATGGGGGGGCTGTTAGAAGTGTGCAGAGAATCAAGGATTAGGTGGAAGAGACAACTCTTTGATTCAGGCCAGGGTTCAGGACCTCACTCACATTTTTTAGCTGTCAGAGAAGTCACTTAACCTCTCAAAGCCTCAGTTTCCTCATCTGTAAATAGGATCCATTTATTGACTTCTGTGGACAGCTGAAAAATTTAAAGGAGAATGTATGTGAAAAGCTCTTGATCATGCAGCGAATTAAATGAAAATATGTTTTAAAGTATACATATATCTCTGCTCAGATCCATGTGAAATTCCAGGTCAGTGTGTGTCTTGATGTATCAATTTCATTGCATTAGGAAATGTAAAAATTAGTAGAACATGGTTGTGTCAAGGTGGGTCACACAGATGTGACCTTCAGTACTGTATATGATCCCTCACCCATTCCTCTCTAGCACAGTTCCACTGCCATGCTTCCTGACCACCATGAACTAAGCAGCTTTGTTCCATCATCCCCTTCCACCATGAGGTTTCTGCCTTGGAGCCTGCCAACCATGCTGTGAATTCCTGAAACCATGAGCCAGATTACACTTCTCCTTTAAGTTGTGGGTTTCTGATATTGTCTTTTGGCAATAACTAATACAGAAAATTGGTACCAGGGGTCATTGCTGTGGCCATATTTGACCATGTGGTTTAGAAGCTTTTAGAACTGGTTTACAGGTAGAGTTTGGAAAGGTTTGGAGAACCAGACTAGAGAAGTCCTAGAATGCTGTAAACAGAACTTTATGAGTGATTCTGATTGGAGTTCAAAAGACCATGATGCCATAGAATGTAGACAGTAAAGGCCAGGCTCAGGAAGTTTCAGTTGGGAACAAAGACTCTACTGGCAATTGGACTAGAAGGCATGCGTGTTACACTTTGGCAGAAAATTTGTCTAGATTTTGCCCATCCCTTGAGGCTTTGCAGGAGACTGAGATTAAAGGCAGTGTACTAATCTGAGAGAGGAAAATTCAAGACAGCCCATAATTCAGGCTCTGGCATGGATA